AAGCGATGAGGCCTTTGATAATGTCCACCGCAGTTGTGGACGAAACGTCAGGAAGAAATTCCCATGGACCACGGCTTCAAAGCCCGGAAAACATTCCTAAATGTAAAAATTCATCAGTCCATCAGAATGGCATCAGCAGGAAATTCGGCCGGAGACTCTCAATGTACACACCTGTATGTATCCTGACGTGTCCTTTCAATTGGCCATTATTGGAAAATCCCACATCGCAGTGTGGACACTTGTACTTTTTGGGGCGTTGCTTCTTGGACGCCAGCAGTTTCGTTTGCTGCTCCTGACTCAGAACTCTCGCATATTCTTCCAGCGCGTATCCTTGAGCGAAAGACTCCAGCAGAAGGGGGTCGTTTGCAGGAAGGCCCAGGTGTTGAGCGAGGTTCGCCTGGATGAAATCCGCGTTTAGAGGCGGAAATTGCTCCTGCAGGTAATCCAGAGCCAGCGGCGTGGTTGCCAGGAAGTTTTCCTGAGCTCCGGCCGGTAAGGTTAGAAAGGAACCTTCACTGGTTGCATGTTGGAGGGTTTTGGAGGTTGATTGGGCGGGATCAAAGCAACGAATTTCCAACGGTGCTTTTTCCAGTTCGGCAGCACATTTTCCCGTGACTTCTTCGTCTTTGGTGGTGGTGGACACGGTGGAATCTTGAGCAACATTCGGACAATCCTCAACTTCACTATCCCAAGGCCGAAATATCCGGGCACATTTGTTCTCTTCCCCCTTTAACTTGTAGGCACAGAAGTCGTTCTTGATATACATTTTTCGACACCGTAACACTTGACCACTCTTAAGCAAATAAAAGTTTAAAGAACACTTTTCATATTTGGCTCACCCTCAGTTCGGTGGGCAGTCCTTGTGTGAAGTGGGGGTATCTCATAATCTTAACAATACCATAACCCTCTTTTGTATCGTTCCATTATTGAATGAAATGGATATTTCGGGGGCTGAATGAATAGGGTGACTTTCTGGGGTAGCTGTTAGCGACCCCGGGCACACTAGGATTTGTGTGTTGTTTTATAATGTAAGTGTTGCGATTTTTTACGGTTGTCTGTGCCTAAATGCGGTCGAATTTAGTTGTAATCTGGTTAGGGGATGATAATGTCGGTTCAGGTACGTTAGCGGATTGGCCTGCTTAAGAATGAGCCGGTGACACTAAGCTGATGGTAATTGCAGGCAGCATTGGCTACGGCCAGAGCAAAACGACATTTTCTTTTAAATTAGCCATGTATTGCTGAAGGCCGAAAAACTTCCTGTTAGGTGAAACGTTTTTTGGGACCTGGTGGAAAAACTTGCTTCTGACGTTTCGCAAGAAGGAGCGACTTGCATCGGCAGATGATCATTTTTCAAATGAAGCATTTGGTAAATTCCAGATAAATTTCAAGTCGCATTTTGCTCTAACTTTAAACGTTAATTTTCATCATTAATCAACATTCACGAAGCACGCAAACCACGTTTTATTATGGGATTTGCATCAAATCTTGCAAGCGTTTAGAATAAAGGCTCTTCTATATCAAACTGAAATTTTAATTGGAAAACTTGCCCCAGATTCGAGTTTACGAGTTTTTATTGGAGAGGATGCAGTTGCGTGAAAACATTAAATTTCGGAGCAAAATTTACGGAGCACGCAATAAATAATCTCTTGAGCGAATCGACTGAAATGTCGCAACCTTTTAGCCGAAACCTTCTTCTATATTCCAGAAAAATTTAAAGTTGCAATTTGCTCTAAATTAGAAGTTACGAAGTTTTATTGCAGAGCGTGCAATTGTGTGAAATCGTTCATTTTCGGACCAAAACTCCCGAAAAACTCAAAAAATATTATCTAATGCGATTTCAATGAAACATCGAGAAGTTGTAACGTGAACAGTCTTCTATATTCTAGAAGACTTTGAAGTCGCACCTTGCTCTAAATTAGAGTTATGAATTGTTCTTCGAGAGCTTGAAATTGCGTGAAAACATTAATTTTCAGAGCAAAGTTCACGGAACAAGTAATAAATAATCTCTTGAGCGATTCGAATGAAATGTCGTGATCTTTTAACGGGAACCTTTTTCTATAATCCAGAAAAATTTAAAGTCGCAATTTGCTCTAAATTAGAAGTTACGAAGTTTTATTGCAGAGCGTGCAATTGTGAGAAATCGTTCATTTTCGGACCAAAAATCCCGAAGAACGCAAAAAACATTCTCTAACGCAATTTCAATGAAATATCGAGAAGTTTTAAAGTGAACATTCTTCTATAGTCTAGAAGACTTTGAAGTCGCACCTTGCTCTAAATTAGAAGATAAGAATTTTTATTCGAGAGTTTGAAGTTGCGTGAAAACATTAATTTTCGGAGCAAAATTTACGGAATACGCAATAAATAATCTCTTGAGAGAATCGACTGAAATGTCGCAACCTTTTAGCCGAAACCTTCTTCTATATTTCAGAAAAGTTTAAAGTTGCAATTTGCTCTACATTAGAAGTTACGAATTTTTATTGCAGAGCGTGCATTTTTGGACCAAATTTCCCGAAGAACGCAAAAAATATTGTCTAAAGCGATTTCAATAAAATATCGAGAAGTTTTAACGTGAACAGTCTTCTATATTCTGGAAGACTTTGAAGTCGCACCTTGCTCTAAATTAGAAATTACGAATTTTTATTGGAGAGCTTGAAGTTGCGTGAAAACAGTAATTTTCGGAGCAAAGTTCACGAAACACGCAAGAAATAATCTCTTCAGCGATTCGAATGAAATGTAGAGACCTTTTAACGGAAACCTTCTTCTATAATCCACAAAAATTTAAAGTCGCAATTTGC